GTGAAGTGTAGTTGCTTCTGTTCAAGATATCGGGATATTTCTTTGAGTCCTTTCACTTCGAGGAGAAAGTACGGCTTATGCCACCAGTTATGCTAATTTGGTGATGGTTCTCACCCAATATGCTTTATAAATTATATTTTCAAGGCATTCATCAAATATTGGTATGGATTCTCAGGCTGTTGGTCTTGATATTTTCATAGATTTCAATTGTGTCTTGTCAGAGGGTTTACCTATTGAACTATGATACAAGACTTTTTTGATTCAGACTGTTCAGCTCTCTTGAAAAAATATTACTATGTAGAGATTTTCAGTCAGATCGATATTTGATATGTATGATGATTGATATTCTATCCAACGTGGTCCTGCTTCGGTCCTTGCAACTATTCCCCCATCACATAATTTTGATGGGATCATGCATTGCCCTCATTGCAGTATGGAACTAAAATCTCTCCGAAACAAACCGAGATATGTGTATATTCATCAGTCTTCTATCAAGGTTGATTCGCAAGTGATTGATTCACCTTCTTCTTTTTCAGTGTGGTCAATGGACTTAGGTCATTCTTGCCCCCAAATATGAGCTGCAGTTCTCGTGGTTCTAGTTACCTTTCAGTGAAAAAGCTTCATGAGGATTGCTCCGAATTCTTGGGCTTCTTGTTGAATACTCTTCGTGAACGAAAAAATAGCAGAATCAATACAGTCCATCTCGTCTTGTGTTTGTAGATCTTTTGCTGGAAAAATCTTCATTTGAAAATGGAACTTTCAACAGGTGATGATCAACTGTATTGCCAAACATGCTCCAAACTCAGTATGATAAGAAAACAAGTATAGCTGAGGCACCAGTCAATCTAATAACGACACTGATGATCTTCAAACTTGACTCAATTTCTAACGGATGCATCAAACTCTTACGAAAGTTCGAAATAGATGAACAATTCAATCTAGCAGACCAGTATTATAATCTTCATGCAGTCATTGTTAACTGTGGTTCTGGCGTTAAATCAGGTCATTATTACGCATTGGTCAAAGACGAAACGGACTGGTTTGAGCAGACCCCTCTCTCCCAGTGGGCATTTTGGGCAAGTGCCCAGGGTCCTGCCATCGATAGGAGCCCCCTCAGATCAAATACGAAATCCCTAGTTCCTGACAGATCACCAAACGATAACCAGTATTCATTAGATACGTAAAAAACTTATATAATTCGAAGAAATGGAACCTGAATTACTGCCTACAATACCAACTTACTAGCTTTTACATGCGCGAAGCTATTCTACTCTTGCTCAAAAATTAGGCTTTCTGGCTTCAGCATGCTTAGATAAATATAATGGTATTTGCTGAATTTTATTATGAAGATGTTAATGAGAAAGGGTTAGAAATAGAATGTTTGCATTCAACAGAATATTTGACAGTTGACAGTGAAAATGAGGATTGTATAATAAAAATATATCAACTTTTGAAAGAAAACAAAATTGAAGACACATTTTCAAATGTAGAAATCGCATCGAGAATCTTTTTGAGCATGATGGTAACTGACTGCAGTGGGGAACGTTCCTTCTCCAAATTCAAAAGAATTGAAAATGAATTGAGGAGTACAATGCTTCAAGAGAGATCAACCAGTTTGTCGCTGATGTCGATAGAATCTGATATTCTAAAAAGCATAGATTTTGAAGAAGTTATTAAGGATTTTGTCCATCTGAAATCTAAAAGGGTTCCTCTTCAAATAACATAGATTTTTAAGCAGTAACGTGTAAATGCTAAAAAAGTTACTTTTGTGGAATATATTACATTTATCTATTCGTTTCATGTGATTGTTGATAAAAATAAATATTTAACGTTATTCATCTACTTTCTTTGTCTATTCTAACAAAAAAGTGTGCTGTCAAAGTCATAGGGGCCCATTATCCTATTATGTCCAGGGCCTCCAATAGGTTAAAGATGGCCCTGGGTTTGAGTTTGACGATAGTCGTGTCACGAAGTGTTCTGGCCATGTTTTGGATTTATTGGAGCCTCTAGAGACAACCTACATTTTGTTTTATGAGAGAGAGGATACTGGGAGATCAAGATCTTCAGATGATGTGATGCTGCAGATTTTTCCGGGTTTTCCTGCAGCTGAAAAAGCAAATACGCCACTAGAATCAATGAAGTCGCCCCGGAGCGCCAA